GCTAGAAACAACCTACAAATCCATAAACAATGATTGAATTATGAATATGTGGTATATTTATGCAATGGAATACTATTCCGCTATTAAAACAAACAAGCAAAAAAGATGAAATCCTGCTATGGACCTAAAGGATATGACACTTAGTGAAATAAGTCGGACAGAGAAAGACAAATGCCATATGATTTCACTCATATGTAGTAAAGAAAACAAATTAATTAAATAAAACAAAAATAAATAAACTTTCAGACTAGAAGACCAAATTAGTGACTATCAGATGGAAAGGGGTAGCTGGGAAACCCCAGGGGTCGAATGTATGGCAAATGACAGAAGTGGACTTTTTGTGGTGACCTTAATGAGCACTGGTTTATGATGGCGCACACCTGAAACATATGCCATATTACTTCAATTTAAAATATTATTTTTAGGGCCTCCCCTGGCCCGCAGCCTCTGCAGCGCTGGTTCGATCCCTGGCCGCCGGTGAGGGTCCCACATGGCGCACAGACCTCTCCTGCCGCACCCGCTGCTCCCTTCAGCAGTGTATTTTGTCAGTCTGTCTGTTCTGTTCCCCGCTCTGGCTCTGGTGAATTCTCTCACCCTCCTGCACTTCTGACTGTACCCAGTGCTTGTATAAATAAATTAATTAATTTAAAAAACAAAACATTATTTTTAAAGGACATTATTATAGAGTAAAAAGGCAACCCACAGAACAGGGGAAAATATTGCAAATTATGCATATGAAAGGGGATTAATATCCAGGTTAATATCCATAACTCTTAAAAATTCAACAACAAAAAACCCCAAATGATAGAAAGAAAAAAAAAATCCAAAGAATTGGGCCTCCCTGGTGCTGCAAGGGGTTAAGATGCAGCACTATGAAGCTATCCGTAACCACTGCAGCACGAGTTCAATTCCCAGCCAGGAAGCAAACCACATGGTGCAGCAGACCTCTCCTGTCTCGCCTGCTGCTCCCCTCAGCAGTGTATTTCAGTCAATCCACCTGCTGGGCTCCCCACTATGTCTCTGGTGAATCCTCTCATCCCCTACACCTCTGGCCTGTGCCCCAGTTCTTGTATGCATAAATAAATAAATCTTTTTTTTAAAAAAAAACAACAACAAGGATCAAATAAAGGCAAACTAATAACAAACCTTAGGAAACTGACTGTAGAACTGAGGTAGGAGGGGGTGAAGGGAGTGGGGGTGGTGATGGTGGCAGAGGACAGAGAGAACAAAGTGGGGTGGGAGCACAATTGACTATGGAAGAGCAGGGGTGCTTTGGTGGTGGACGTGGCGTGGTAAGACATGAAGGGGGAAATCCTGTTCCTCTAAATCATACACAAGGGTCTCCCTGGTGGCGCAGCAGTTGAGTGCTGGGCTGCGAAGCTGCTCGCAGCCTCTGAGCGCCGGTTCGATCCCCGGCCTCTGGATGAGGGTCCCACATGGCCCGCAGACCTCTCCTGCCGCCTGCTGCTCCCCTCAGCAGTGTATTTCGTCAGTCTGCCTGTTCTGCTCCCTGCTCTGGCTCTGGTGAATTCTGTCACCCTCCTGCACTTCTGACTGTACCCAGTGCTTGTATAAATAAATAAATAAATAAATAAATAAATAAATAAGTCTTTTTTTTTTTTTTTAAAGAGGCATGTATATTTATTTATTTATTTGTTTGTTTGTTTGTACATGCACTGGGTACAGTCAGAAGCGTGGGAGGGTGAGAGAATTCACCAGAGTGGGGAGCAGAGCAGGCAGAAGTACCGAAGTACACTGCTGAGGGGAGCAGCGGGCGGCAGGAGAGGTCTGCGCGCCATGTGGGACCCTCTTCCGGTGGCCGGGGAGCAGCCGGGGATCGAACCGGCGCTGCAGAGGCTGCGGGCATCTTCGCAACCCAGCGCTCAACCACTGCGCCACTGGGGAGGCCCAATAAATAAATCTTTAAAAAAAAATCATACACAAGGTTGAAACCAATGTTAACCTTGAGCTTAAAAAAAAATGGGAAAAATATATCCAAATGGCCAGACTCGATATGGGCAAAGACCTGTTACAGACATTTCTCCAAAGGAGATATACAAATGGCCAATAAATACATGAAAAGACAGTCACTATCACTAGTCATTAGGGAAATGCAGTCACTGTGGAAAACTGTACAGCAGTTCCTCAAAAAATAAAAAATAGAATCATCATATGATCCAACAGTTCCACATCTGGGTATCTGCCCAAAAGAACTGAAAGCAGAGACATGGATGGCTGTCTGTGTACCCACGTTCATAGAGACATTTTTTCACAACAGCAAAGAGGTGGAAGCAGTCCAAACCTTCCTCTGTGCATGAATGGATAAACAATGTGGCATATAATGCAAAGGACATTTAACATACATTTAACAACTTATTATTCAGTCTTAAAAAGGAAGTTCTGACACATCAATTTGGAAAGCAGTATGCGAAGTGGAATAAACCAACCAGGAAAGAACAAACATGGTGTGATCCCACTCTTATTGTAAACAGGGTGGTCCCCAGGAAAAGAGGAGATCCCAGGTTCCCTAGCCCAACCAAGGGAGCGTGGAGCAGAGCAGGCTGTCCCTTACAGTAAAAAGCACTTAGTCAAATTCAGAGACACAGCAGAATGGTAGTTGCCAGGGGTTAAAAGGTAGGATGGATGCTGGAGGGGGGCCATGAGAGAAGAGGGAGTTAACAGCTTGATAGGTACAGAGTTTCAGTTTTGCAACATGAAAATGTTCTGAAAATGGCCAGTGGTGATGGCTGCACAGCAAAGGTGCCACTGAACTGTACACTTAAAAATTGTGTATGTCACAGCAATTTTAAAAAACCTTTACGTTTTAAAAAGATTGAACTGTGTTTTACCCCCAATTTTCTCCACCTTTAGTGCCCCTACCAACTCTCATTTGTATAACTTTAAACTAGTTTCCAACTCTGATCCAGTCTTCCAAACAGCAGCCAGAGTGATCTTGCTTATATGAAAACCTGAAAAGTGAAGTATCCCCTACTCAAATCCTTACCATGACTTCCTCCACCCTAGAGGTAAAAACAAGTTCTGCAGCATGATGCCCCTCTTCCTCCCCTAACTTTTGGTTTTATTCCTTACCACTGGTTTCATCTACCCCCAAAATGCCCTCTCCTCTTCCCTGCTTAGCAGTCTTTCTTTAGAGCTCTGTCTTCCCTCACCCCAGATCAGATTCCCCATCAAAAATCTTTATCACCAGACCCAGTGCAGTGAAAACTTACCTATTCTGTCTTTGACAACGGGTTAGGTATTCTTGCAGCATTCTATGATAGTGTAATCAGTGTCTGAAAGCCACCAGGAAGTCTGTAAAAGAGGTTTTATATCAATGGTACACTTGCATACTGGAGTAAGCTGGTGAGACTATGCTGTAGTTTTGCATATGGGAGGGAAAATGGTCCAGAAGAGCCAAGGCTGAAAAGTACAAGAGCCAAAAAACATGCAGCCATGCCAGGAATATGGCTTTCCCACAAGGTCCTGACAGGGTAATATCTGTTGCAATGTGTACCTATCATCTTTGGGATCCAGCCTCACTTCACCTACTGAAATAGGACCTTGGGGTTGGGTTGTGGTGAAAAAGATCAGTTATGGTACTCTAAAAACAAAAACAAAAAAAAACACGCCATAGATTTTGTGGCTCACCTAAAGTGGAAAACTACCAGTGAGTGTTGACAGATATGCAAAGGATTACGACCTTACTGATATTCTGTAAGGCTTAAAGCTTAAGGATAGAGTACAGATTTTGAAGTCAAATAGACCCTGACACTAGTTTGAGTGGGCAAGTTACTTTGCCTCTATAAGAGTGGGCAAGTTACTTTGCCTCTATAAACCAACTACACACAAGTGATGGTCCTCGGCTTCAACTTATTAGGTAGCAGAGTGCGCATGACAACACGTGGCGGTCTTATTAAAACACTGATTATGGCCCCACCCCAAAACTTTCTGATTCAGTAGGTCTGGGATGGTGTCCAAGAATTTTCAACTTTAACCAAGTCTCCAGGTGAGGCAGCTGCTGCAGGAAGTGTGCTGGCAAACACACTTTTGAACCACCAACCTAGCACAGCGAGCACAACACAATCGTCAAAGATGCAGACATCCTGATACCTAAGAAAAGTGCAGTATCCGCTTCCCCCCGCCATCAACCCTCCCACCTCCTCACAACCTCAGCTGGTTCCAACTTGCTCGATAGCCTCAGAAAATGATTTCCACTCGTTGGGGCTCTGGGCTCACTTTTGACAAAAGACGGTTCCAGGTAACCGTTATTAGTGAAAAAAGTTATTAGGTCCGGGCGTCCCTGGTGGCGCAAGGGGTTCAGATGCAACCTATGAAGCTAAACCCGCAGCCTCTGCAGCACGAGTTCGATCCCCGGCCAGGGAGCTACCCACATGGCACAGCAGACCTCTCCTGACTGCCCGCTGCTCCCCTCAGCAGTGTATTTCTGTCAATCTGCCTGTTCTGTTCCCCACTCTGTCTCTGGTGAATCTTCTCACCGCCCTCCAACCCCCACACCTCTGGCCTGTACCCCAGCTCTTGTATGCATAAAAATAAAATAAATCTAAAAAAAAAAAAGTTATTAAGTCCTACGGAACTTGCTGGGGTTAGGGGAGAGAAAGAGTAGGGGCTAAATTCTGAAGGGCAGTTTGAGGCTCCAGGGAGCAATGGTTTGGGTTCGAAAGGCTGCCTCGGGAAAAGCAAGGCCGCGCTCTGCGCTGATGCTGAAAGGGAAAGCCGTGGCAGACAGGACTGTGCTCACTTCCGGCCTCCGCTTTCGCCTCAGACGTGGTTCTTGGGGCTCCAGAGCGCCCTCGAGCGATCAGGTAGCCGTCCTAACTCACCAATATTGTCCCTTCCTACTCACCATCCCACACGACGGACAGAGGCACATCGTCACTTCCGCCACGCGTAGCGCGCTTGCGCAGCGCCGACGACCGTGCGGCTGCCGATTGGCTGCGTGGGCACGTCGTCGGGAGGACGCACGGCGCTGCGTAGCTCCTCCTTCCGCAGCACCTGGTCTCGGCCGAGCGAGCAGAGCCGGGCTGCCTGGCCGGGCGAGGACAGCGGCAGCCTCCCGCTGAGCTTGTTGCCGCCTCCGCCTTGTGCTCCGTGATTCGCGACCCCAGACCCCCCGACTCTTTGGCTCGACCCGCGCGCCCTAGGCCCAGCCCGGGCGGCGCGACGGGAGGATGAGCGGCGGGCGGCGGAAGGAGGAGCCGCCTCAGCCGCAGCTGGCCAACGGGGCCCTCAAAGTCTCTGTCTGGAGCAAGGTGCTGCGGAGCGACGCGGCCTGGGAGGACAAGGTGCGGTGGGACCTGGCGAGGGCGTGGCTCAGGGAAGCGGGGCACGGAAGGACGGGCCCGATCCTGTTCCTGCCCGCGTCCGAGAGTTCAGGGTGGCGGGGCGGGTGGCCCGAGGGTGTCGAGGCTCCCCGCGGAGTGGCCTGAGGGTGAGGCCGCCTGGCCCACGCGGGAAGCCCCGAGGAGGGGCGAGAGGAGTTGCCACGCGCGGGGCAGAGCGTGTGCCTGAACGGGGAGGGTGAGCTGAATCCCAGTCGAACTCCGCCTTTTACTTCCAGTAGGCTTTTGAGTAAGTGACACAACGTCTGGGAATGAGCTACTTGACATTGTCGTTAGCAGGGACAGGGATGGTAAGAGGCTCTAGAGTGCATGTGCCAGGTGCTCCCCGTGCCTTATCTCAGCTTTCGGAGCTGTGGCGTGGGGTCTCATGGTGCATTAAAGCGTTTGGCTTTTACTGAGGTGCAGTAATGGTGACCTGCCAGTGTGAGAGAGAGAGAATACCTCAGCTGGTGCGAGAGTTGAGAGCTGAGACTGACACCACCTTTCCCGGGCATGTGTGTGTGTCTAAGAGAAGCACCATCAAATGTGTATAAGAAATGGTTAGGGCTTCAGGATAGCTTCTCTGGTCACACACATTCAGAAGATCTGAGGGTGAGCTCTTCTCCAACTCTGCTTCTTGATCTGGAAGGGATGAGTAACTTGATTCCAGTTGATTTAAAAAAGAATGTTGTGCTTGCACTCTTGCTTTCTGGACAGCTAGTGAGTTTTCCTTCCTGGAGCCCCCTCGAGGGGCACGGGAGGCACTTCCTGAAGGTGCCCTTGTCCTGCCCCCAGCCCTGCCCAGCTCTTGTAAAGCCTGCGGTCTCTGATCTGCTGTGTCATTTCATTCTGTCCTTGTGTAAGGAGTAGTTACTGCAATCTGGGGCAAGTGTGAAACCTGAGTCTTCCTTGTATGAAATTTAGATATGCTCACCTGTCTCTGGCACTTTGTTTGTTTCTAATCCTTCCTCTCTCCTGTGACTTTCCGAGTGCTGGAAGACAGTGCTTAGGTGTTAGTCAGCCCTTCTGCCTGTGATAGCCTGTCATCTAGGTCTCCCTAGATCAGATAGGAGGTATCTGTGATCAGTTGCATAATTATAGTCGTTTCATGACCAACAATTTCACTTATACAGCTTATAAAAATTATTTAAAAAAAAATTTTTTTTTTAGAGCACAGGCCCTGAAGTCATCACTTAACTAAATACGTGTGTACACACACACACACACTCTTACCATATTTTAATTAAAAGAAGAGGTGAAGATGAGAGAATCACAAACCATTGCTTTGGGGGCCCAGGAAAAAGGGGGGTGGTGGGGAGATAGCCCCTGAAAGATGTATTTAGCAGAAAGCTCTTCTGCTCCTTACCTATCATGATAGGCTTTTCTGTGACACCCACTAAGATAATGCACGCAATCTCTCTTCTACAGGATGAATTTTTAGATGTGATCTACTGGTTCCGACAGATCATTGCTGTGGTCCTAGGTGTCATTTGGGGAATATTGCCGTTGCGAGGTTTTTTGGGAATAGCAGGGTAAGTCTTGGATATCTTGAACTTTCATGCTATCTTTTTTTTTTTTTTTTCCAGATAGAGATTTTATTTTTATGGGAAAGGTTATTGCTACTTTTGAGGATTTTGTTTATTTTGAATGACTTTGTTTGAATGACTTAGTTTGTAGAATGACCAAAACAAAAAAATGGCCCCAGGATGGCACTGTGGGTCTGGGAATATAGTCCTCAATTCAGCAGGCTGAGAGCATCTGAGGTCAGACCTCTTACTTGCTGAAGGCTGGGCCACTACACTCGTTCATTGGCCCAAAGTGCCCTAATGTAAGGGGGTACCTTATTACCTGTTGGTGGCAGTCACTCTAGTTCTGGCATGATCTTTGTTACCTATGGTACAATCTTAGAAAGTGGACGATCATTCCCTTGGCCCTGTGCTGGATGTGCTGAATCTTGGCTTTGGCAGTTTTTCATTTCATTATAAAGACAGTGACAAAGCACGGGTTTGGCCCCTCCATTCTTTACGATGCCCTTGTTGCTAGTGGCAGCACAGTTTACACCAACGCCTGGTTATGGCTCAGCTTGTTAAGTCACTGAAAGTGAGTCTACATACTCACCAGATTGACCAGATTGATTTTAAAGATGTGTGGGAGTTGTCTAACATACAGATTGTGGGGTAGGCTTGGTGAAAATTGATAGGCAGGTCTGTGATATTTTCTCAAGCATCTTTGAGAAAGATGTCATCTTTCCCCAGAAATCACATTGGTTTTTTTCTAGGGGTGATCACATCTCTTATTTTCCCCTTACCCTGGAATGGAAAGCATTAAATATGTAGCAAACTCAAATATTTGAGTTGCCTGTTTTCTCAAAAGGTAAATAAAAGGAACATAGTCCCCTCTCTTAACTAAGAAGATATTTATGCTGAGCAAGGCATTTGTACAAGGAAACCAGTTAAGAGCTATTGTTGTTCCTGACTTTGGCATGGTGGGCTCTGATGAGGACTAATTAATTGAGACACAGGGTGGTGGGTTTTATAGAGTTCTTCCCAGATTGGAGGTCATATGTAGAAACATTTTTTAGAATGCTGGTTGCCACCATTTGAACTTTCTGTTAGAAAAAAAGGGAGACAGGAGGGAAGGACCGGAAAGAGGGCTGACAATCTAAAGGCAGAAGGGAGTTTTTCATCTGCCCAACGCCACTGTCTAGGAATAACAATATTTTAAAGTCCCTGTATTTGGGCCTCCCCGGTGGCACAGCGGTTGAGCGCTGGGTTGCGAAGCTGCCCGCAGCCTCTGCAGCGCCGGTTCGATCCCCGGCTGCTCCCCGGCCACCGGAGGAGGGTCCCACATGGCGTGCAGACCTCTCCTGCCGCCCGCTGCTCCCCTCAGCAGTGTACTTCGGTCCTTCTGCCTGCTCTGCTCCCTGCTCCGGCTCTGGTGAATTCTCTCACCCTCCTGCGCTTCTGACTGTACCCAGTGCTTGTATAAATAAATAAAAATAAATCTTTAAAAAATAATAATAAATAAATAAATATTTTATAGAAGCTCTGGATTTAAGTTCTGGCTCTGCCACTTTCAAACTGTGTAATTTGGGCTCCGTTTCCTCATCAATAAAATGAGAGCAATTAAAGTATCTTCCTCATAAAATTTATGTCTGAATTAAATGAGATTACACATGTAAATTGCATAGGACATTATAGACGCTCCATAAGTGGTCCATTGCAATCATATTACAGGCTTTATGAGTAATAAGATAAAGCTATTGAGAAAACAGGAAATTAAATATTTGGGGTGAATGGCGTAGCTCATCCATACTGCATGGTACTGCTTTCTCAGGACTGCCTATTTTCTGGGGTCTGTTCCCACATTGTCTTGCCAGAACCAGTTCCTCTCACTCCAAAGGATCTCTTCCCTCCTGTGGTTGGCACCTTTCCCCTCTCTTGGAAAGGGCCCAAGGATGTTGATTTTTTCCACACACGTCCTCTCCTCCATCTGTCTGACCCAAATGTCTGGGCTGACGGCAGCACTGCTTTGGCCTCAGTTCTGGTAACCCTCTCGCCTCCTTGCCACTTCTTGCCTTAATTGCCCTCTGCCTTTACTCCACCTCACTTCTATTTGTTTCTAGGGTAGCTACCAGTTAGAGCCTATTGAGGTAAAATCACTTCCTTTTGGTCTCATTATAATTTGCCTGAGAACTGAGTGATAACACTGCTGTCTGCTGAGGTTTTTACATTACAAGTGGGGCACTGTCCATTCCATCCTGCCTTTCTGTCTCGTGGAGCTTGGCATATGATTACTAAGTGAATATTTGTTAAATTTTTTTTTAAGATTTATTTATTTATCCAGTCAAGAACTGGGGCACAGGCCAGAGGTGCTGGGGGTGAGAGGATTCACCAGAGACAGAGCGGGGAACAGAACAGGCGGATTGACTGAAATACACTGCTGAGGGGAGCAATGGGCGAGTCAGAAGAGGTCTGCTGCACCATGTGGGTCACCTCCCTGGCCGGGAATTGAACTCGTGCTGCATTTGCTGCCAACAGCTTCATACTGCTGCGTCCTAACCCCTTGCGCCACCAGAGAGGCCCCTTGTTAAATTTTTTTTAAGCTGAAACGAATTCCCATTGACCATTGAAAGCAGGGCCACATATTACATGTGATACTCTAATCCCGAAGTCAGCCTTGTTAAAATTCTGACCAAAGTTTTTAGGATAGAATTTTCAAAAACCCATTTGAGAGCCAGCCTTTTTAATGGTCTTCCTCTACCCCCAATTTTAGCATCTTCATTTCATTGTCAACGTACCACCTGCTGTGTGCCTTCATTTATAGTTTAGGAATTAGGCCCGTTCTTAAAGCTCAATTTGAGCCCTTCCAGTCCTTTCCTGCATAGGACATTGACCATTAGCTTTGTTTTTTTTTTTTTTTTTTTTTTGAAGATTTTTTTTTTTATTTATTTGACATTTACATTGAGGGCCTAGGCATTTTCATGTATTCACTTGTCCCAAATACAAACAGTTAAAAATGCAACAGTGGGTACCCTGATATAGCTGGCAGTGGCGGTTGGAGTTTGAATCTTCTAAACTTAACAGTTTGTATTTGATGCTTGTCCTCCTTCACTCCAGATTCTGCCTGATCAATGCAGGAGTCTTGTATCTCTACTTCAGCAATTATCTACAGATAGATGAGGAAGAGTATGGTGGCACATGGGAGCTCACAAAAGAGGGATTTATGACATCGTTTGCCTTGTTCATGGTATGTGGAACTGATAATTTTACAGCAAGTGCTATCATTTCATAAGGTGTCAGTCACCTTATGAAGAACCTTTAAATTATATAATATAAAGGATGAACTTGATAGGATGTGAATTTTATCTCCAAGTTGATTTTTTGTTTTTAATTACATACACTCCTCTGTATGTCCATACCTTAGTCCAAACCAATAAAATACAACCACAAAAGCTGTATATGGGAAGTGGTGCCTGGGTGTCTAGTTGTATATATATGAATTTTTAAGGTCTCAAGAGATTGCCTTTGACAAACAGGCTTGAGAAACCCACTATGAAGTGGAGCTTTCACATGTGTTGCTCATGTGTTGCTAACATCTGCTAGCAGTGCACCCCTTTAAATGTATTGTTTCCACATCTAGAACTCCACTCCCTGGTGCTCTGTTTGGTGGTGGGCAATATTCTCTTTAGGAGCACAGGTGAGTGATCCTGGGCTGTTAGAGAGTGATTTCAGTGAAATAGTTTAGACACCCCCAAGCAGATTGTACATTGGGTAACCCATGGCACACATTCTTATCTGACTTTCTTGTGTGAAATAGCTGCCTACACTGACCCAAGTGACCTATGAACATTGCTTGTCTTTTCTCTAGGTCATTTGGATCATCTTTTACACTGCCATCCATTATGACTGATGGTGTACGGCCCCCACCTGCTCCCTGTCCAGTCCAAAGGACCCTCTTAGTTACAGCACAGAAACATGATTGTAGGGGCACCCCAACCACGTGGAGCTTGAAGACCCATGTTTCCTGGACCGAGAATCTGTGTGTTGGGGATCATTGTTTTCTGCAAGGGTCGTGACCTGAAATTTTTTAGAGAACCATCCACCTTTTGAGGAAAGCATTTCTGAATTATCCGTCACCAACCTTTTCTTCTTGGATACCATCAAGATACCATCATGACACACCCTTTTGCTGGTTGGAGCTGTCCTTTAATTTGATGCACCTCTGGATCCGGATGAAACATTAAATTGTCTTCCTCATTTCTCCATCAGGTGTACAGTTTTTAAACTATCAGTGGCATTTCAAGTCTTCTAAAAACAGTATGGCAGTATGTGCGTGGTCCATGGCACAGTACAAGCAGCATCTATAAGTTTCCATTGTAGAATGTTTTCAGATATTTGAATAAATCAAATCTTTAATTGAGAACCTGTTGATGATACCTGGTAAAAACTTTCCCACCTCACCTCTAGCCTCAGAATCGATAGGAACAGTAGAGCTAATACCCTCCCATCCCAGACTCTCTCCCCTACTTCCCTCTTCCTGGCCCTTTAGCAGCTCCAGCAAGGCCTCTTTTCCCTTTATGGGCAGTAGGAAAATCAAGGCCTGGAGTTGGATGTTGGCTGTAGCTGTAACTTTGTGGAGAGCACTTACACCTTCTAATATCCCTGCCCATTCAGAGATGTGACTGACCTTATTGCAGTGTACTAGGCTCAAAAGGTGTCGTTTTGCATTTGGCCACAAGATGGCAAGACCACTGACCAGGAAAGCTGGTCACGTACAAATGATAAGCCACAAACTAAGAAATCTGATAGCTGAGACTGTCCAGAGAGGAGGCTTGATGGGGGACATTTGAAGACCTGGACTGTCAAAGACCTTGTTCTTTGCTCTGGAGGGCAGGTGGAGGCTGGACAGCCCATATTCTGCTGCTGGGATAAGCCATCCATCCCTTCTACTTTCCTGTCCTTTCTAGGCTACAGCTCTACCTTCTGCAGTATTCCAAGTGAGACCTGTAAATACTCTTTTTTTTTATTTTAATATTTTTAAAAGGATTTATTTATTTATGCATACAAGAGCTGGGGCACAGGCCAGAGATGCGGGGGGTGAGAGGATCCACCAGAGACAGAGTGGGAACAGAACAGGCAGATTGACTGAAATATACTGCTGAGGGGAGCAGCGAGTGAGACAGGAGAGGTCTGCCTCACCATATGGGTTTCTCCTGGCTGGCTGGAGATCGAACTCGTGCTGCAAAGGCAGGGGATTGCTTCTTAGTACGGTGCGTAACCCCTTGTGCCACCAGGGAGGCCCTGTAAATACTCTTTAAATGATTATTTTCCTTGCTATTAGTGGTGAATTTTTTCTTATAGGTGAGGCCCCAGGGATATAAAATGGATTCAGAGCCAGGAAAAAGATAGTGCTACAAATCCTGAAATCAGACCCTGGATGAAGTTTAGTTTCTTTTCTAGAGTCTTGGCTCTGCTCTCCACTGGTCTGTATTTGTACTAAAGGTTATAGTTGGAGTCATGGCACTGGGAGGAGGCTAAATGACTTCTCGGGACTCAGAAATGAGCAGGGGATGTAGGTGGGATGTAAGGTGTACAGGCATCCCAGCCCTCCCCCCTTCACTGCACAACCTTGTCTCAAGGATGCTCAGTCAGGCTGAACTGAGTTGGGGTTCTAGGTGCTGCAGCCTTGATTCCCTTTTCGGCCTCTCCTTTGGGCCTTGGCATCATCCAAGGAGACGTCATCTGTCAGGTTGATATAGGAGCTGAGGGCCTCCCGGAGCCCCTCACTGAGGAGAGAGTCCTCCCCTGTGGCAGATGCTCCAGAGAATAGGAGGTTGCTGTGGAAGGGGGAAAAAAGCTGGAATCTTCATTCTGTTCTTCACCACACTCACCACACAGCTAGTTCACTGTTCTCGAAAACCTATATTTTTCCCCCATGTAGAAGAACTAGGCTATAGGCAAGAGGTGTGGGAGATGAGAGGGTTCACCAGAGGTAGAGTGGGAAGCAGAACAGGCGGATCTACTGAAATACACTGCTGAGGGGAGCAGCGGGTAAGACCAGAGGTCTGTTGTGCCATGTGTGGGTTAGCTCCCTGGCTGAGGATTGAACTCAGGTTGTAGCAGTGATAATGCTGAGACTTACTCCCTAGGCCACCAGGGAGACCCTCAACACCTATCTTTAAGACACTCCTGCTAAAGTGTCTAAAACTCAGTGGTTCCTAATTCTCTGACAGCAAGCCCCAACTTGATTTCTACATAGCACTGATGCCCTCTGTTCTGCCCTCTTGTCCAACCCTCCTTTCATCCTGGCCACCTTGGTATCCATGCATCCCTGTATCCACACCTGTTTTTTCTTGCCAGTCCCCACTATAGACTTGCTGAGTCTAGGTTGGCCTCTTCAAGTCACTCCTCATTGGTTCCCAGGTGTTCTGAGAGCCACCGTACTGAGAAGGCGACAGGCCCATTCTGGGTTGTGGCTTCCCAGGGGCAAGTCCTAACTCTACTTTCTCCCACCTTCATGTTGCAGGGGTCCCCTTACCTGTCAATTTCTTTCCAATTGATTGGTTTTGTCTGCACAGTCACAGGTGGGGGTATGGCCTTGGCAGGGAGTGGGCTAGTCCTCCGCAGGGCACAGGGCTCCTTGAGGAGGCAGCAGATGTCGTCTGCTAGCTCTGAGGGAGAGACCAAGATTCGTAACATGGCTGACTCTAGCCCTGCTTTCTGCCCCAACACTCCCCACCCCCGCCCTGACAGTTCTTTACGCTTGGCAGGAGAAAGCATAGTCAGAAAAGGTTGGCAGGGCACGAGCCCCAAGCTGTTGGTATCCTGAAGGCTAACATGTAGTCAAAGGTCATTCTGGGCTACATTTTGAAATAATTTACTGTGTGATTTTGAATAAGTGGATTTACCTTTTGAGCCCAGGTTTCTGGTTAGACATGTACTTTCATAGAAGAAAACTAAGGAATGCTCAATCTCTACTTGTTCTGTCAGTATTTACTGCATGGAACTAGCCTCCAGAAAAGCCTGGAGTTTTCCCAGGAGTGGTCTTTATCCTGCTCCTTTGCCACTGTGCTCTAGTGACTGCATTCTCCAGTGCCTGTTACAAGACAGGCATCTGAAGGTGCCAAAAATCAGTTGAATTCCACATAGGCAAAGGATCTGGTTCCTGTAGAGAGAACTGTGCCTGCTGCTGGGGACTTTCAGAGCCACAATGGTGGCCGAGGTATTGGCCTGCACTCAAAACGGAGGTCTGTGTGGAATATAGTGGTGTCTGGCTCTGTCAGGGTGTGGAATGAAGACAGGATCCCTTTCCCTGTTCTTGGAGCAGGCCTGGCATGAAGATAGAGGTACTTTTCTATCTGGATATTCATCGGCAGGTAAAGTGTCTTAAAGACACAGCTGTCTGCACCTCAGACCCCACATCCCGGAAATAGGTAAAGGCTATACCAGAGTAATGGTCCACCAGGGCCTGGAGTGAGGGGAAGGTGAGGCGTGGTGAGATGTACAGCCAACCATTGTCAAGGTTATGGATCCTGTAGTGTCTGATCCGGTCCCACGATGAAGGGTGGCTGAGGCGGATGGACAGGGTATAACAGCCTGAGGAGGAAAGGGCCAGAGGCAGGACTGAGGCCTTGCTGGGATCCAGCCTCACCCAGGTGGGGAGAGAAGGAGATGAGATGTCCACAGGGCATCCCACACAGAAAAGAAGTGGGCAGGAGAAGGACAAAGACGTTTATTGGTGATCATAGTGACAATACCTTCTTAATAGGGTTTTTGAAAGGATGAAATGATATCATACACACAGGAGTCCTCAGGCCTGGTACATTTTAAGTGAACATCAAATGCTGACTGTTATAAAAGATTCAAGTGGGCAGAAAAGGATTCAAGTGTTAAAATGTGAAAATGGGCCCGCCCCTGGTGAAAGGAATTCTTTCATTCCATTTTGGGAACATTTGGCATTAACTAGTCAAGTAGAACATGCACATGCCTCACAGCCCAGGAGTTTCATCTTTCTAAAGTAACCATGTTAACTTAGAAATACATGAACAATATTCATAGCAGCATTGTTTGGAAAAGCTCAAAACTAAACAGTCCGTATGCACTTAATAGAATAGTGGATTAGAGGGGCCTCCCTGATGGTGCAGGGGTTAAAGTCCTAGGGCTATCAAGCTATCACCAGCCACTGTGGCTTGAGTTCAGTCCCTGCTGGGAGCTAAGCCACATGGTACAGCAGACCTCTCCTGTCTCACCTGCTGCTCCCCTCAGCAGTGTATTTCAGTAGATCTGCCTATTCTGCTCCCCACTCCTCTGTCTCTGGTGAATTCTCTCGCCCCCTATACCTCCTGCCTCCACCCCAGTTCTTGTATGCATAAATAAATAAAACATTAAAAGCAGTTACAGCTCCGAAATTTAACTCCTAGGCCACCAGAGAGGCCCAAAAGTTTAATTTTAAAGTGACCATCAGTGCAATTCACCATGTTAATACAAGAGAAAAAACATGATTACATGAAATGTAGAAAAATCATTGGACAAAGTTCAACACCCATCATGACTGAAAAAACAATACATAACAGATAATTACAAGATTTGCTTGTGTCCTATACGGCTATAAAAAATTACCACAAACTTCATGATTTAAAATAACACAAGTGCATTATCTTACAGTTCCTGAGGTCAGATGTCTGAAATGGGTGTCACTGATTAAAATCAGTGGTGTCAGCAGGCCTGTTTGTTCTGTAGGTTCTAGAAGAGAATCCATTACTCTACCTTTTCCCAGTTTCTAGAAGGCACCTGCTCCCTTAGCTCATTGCTCCTTCATCTTCAAAGTCAGCACCATCTTCCAATCTATAAAATTAGTCTTCCTGCCTTCCTACCACCCTTTTGATTTCATTGGGTTTATCTGGATAATCCATGATAATCGCCCCATCAAATCCTTAATCTACAGATTCCTTTGTACAATATAAAGTAAGATATTCAGTTTCTAGGGATTAGAACCTAGAGGTCTTTGGGGAGCTATAATTCTATCACCTGACAAAACATCCATGAAAAATCTGTAACATTATACTTAAAGGGAAAGACTGGCTTTTTCCTTCTAAGGCTGAGAAGAAAGTAAGAGTGTTCTAACAACTTCACTCAGTGTACTAGAGGTCCTAGTTAGTGCAATAAGTCAGAAAAATAAAGATATATAGATTGGAAAATAAGTAGTTCAATAATTTGTTCATACGTAAACAATCATAAGGAATCTACAAAAAGCTACTGGAACTAGTAAGTGAATTTAGGAAAGTCAGCATGATTTGAGAAGTATAGAGTAGGGTCTCTATTTCCTTTCCCTTATTCTCTGACTCTGGAGACCCTTTGACCTCTGTACCTTTAAGAAGAGTCTCTTCTTGAGACAAGCTGTGACCCTGAAAAAACTGTGGTTGAAAAAATACTAAGTATCTGAAAATAGGCCCAAGAGGCAACCAACCCAACTGACCTACTTGACCAAGTCCTCTGCATGTTTCTCCAGCCACTCCACCTTGGCCACTGCACCACAGTTACTAGAACCAGAAAGGGAAGCTACACGGAGGATCTGACCGGTGAGTTCAGTGATAACAGATAAGCTGTGTTAACCGCCCTGTGGGGAGAGGTCACTTACCAAGGCCATCTGTGACTGGCCCATGTGCCTGGTATCCTGCTGCTCCTTCCCACTGCATGCTCCAGTTGGTCCCAAATACCTACTGCTCACTCCCCTTCCAGGACACCACCTTTTAACTCAGACTCCCTGGGTTCAAATCCCATACAGAGCCATGTTCTGTAACACCCTTGCTGCCCCATGCTCTCTAGTTGTATCTCTAAGGCACATCACATTATTTGACCTCTCAGATCTGTTTTCTTCTGTAAAGGGGAATAATTGTCCTATGCTCACCAGATTGCCACAGGGATCTGGATGGCAAAGTACGTAAAGCATTCAGCACGATGGCTAGCATGTAGCAAGCATCTAGTAATTCCTACCAGGCCTTTAGTCCTTTGCTTGTGCTGCTCCTTCTACCTGTGTGACCCCTAGCTTTCCTCTTACAGCTCATTTATGCTGGGACAACTGGTCAGATGCTTCCCCTGCTTGAGAAAAACTCTAAACTTGCCTAATTACCAGTGCTTCTGTGGCACCAAGTAGTCCTGCTCTGCATTGTCTGTCCTTCAACCCTAGACACCCCACACACATATAAAATAGTAGGAGCCTCCTAAGAATGGTTCTGATTTATCCTGCCATCATCTTCCCATCTCAGAAAACAGCAACATTCATGCATTAGTAAGCCATTAATCCTGGAGTCACTCTTGACTGCACCTCACATCTAGCCCAACAGAAACTCCTGTTAGCGACATTCAGAAGATATCCAGAACCTGGCCACTTCTCACCCTGACAGAGTGTGTAACAACTTCCCATGTGGCTTCCCACTTCCTCCCTATCCCCTGCCACATACTCCTGTGGTATCAGTCAAGTATCAGGTCATGTTAATCCCTACTCAGAACCTCCCTGTCACACTCCAAATAAATCCAAATTCCTCCCTGGAAAGGCTCTATGACCTGGGATCTGCTCCAGGCCCTCCTGCCTGCTGCCCAGGCCTCTGCTCTCCTGCATACCTCCCACCTCTCTATTCTCTTACACTGCTTGTTCCTTCGTGGCACTAACCTCCACTGAAGTCACTCATGTGTTTGCACATACAATCAATGAGATTGTGGGCAGGGATTTTGCTTTTTACCAATGAATCCCTGGTGCTTAGAACAGGAGCTGGTGCAGAGTAGCCATGTAATGTCTATTTGTTGAATGAGTAAATGAATCTCTATGATTAAAAGCAGTTTTTGATTAAAAGCAATTAAAAGTCGTTGCCACCAAAATGACAAATAGTCTGGAGAAATACATTGAAATGGGTAGTGAAGGGCGAGTGTATTTGCCATGTGAAGGAATTGAGAATAGACTTGCCAAGCTGAAAGACAAGCATGTGCAAGGAGGCAGCAGTGGAAAGAACATTTGTGTTCATGGACTGTTCTTGTGGACAGTGGAGTCAGAAGAGCAGTAGGAATCGTGGCTGGGTGCAGGAACTGAAGAGGAACTCATCAGGAAGAAGGCAAGGAAGGTACATGATCCTGGATTCGAAGAAGCTCAGGCTGGCTTAGCCAGTGTCACATCCTGCCCTGCAGGGACCTCTGGGGTCAGGCACCATGCCTTTCCAGGTGGTCTGATGATCACCAGGGAGGAAGGTAGGGTCCAGAGTGGTGTGAGAGATCAAATTAGAGATGTGTTGGGGGGGTGGGGGAAGAGAGATGGACCTAGAAGGACTCTCTTAAACTTTCTCTGCTGAGGGTTCTGAGGAACTGATAGTCTCTGGGAGGCTGAACATTTGATCTTCCTCTGTCTGCATTCTGAGAACAGGAATTACACATTACCTATCAGGATATGTGTTTCCCAACTGGCAGAATGGACAGAGATGGGCCCTTAGTGGCAGGAACCACATTTACCCATTAACGTCCCCTACAGTGCCTAACAGAATAGACACATCATAGGACAGTAGGAAGGTGAGAGTGATGATATTGGGGCCTGACCCTGACACTGACCTCTGGAGAATTACTGTGACCTCTACCAGTCTTCAAGGATTTGGGCCTGACTTGGGCCCTGCCATGGCTCCCCTCAGGCCTAGAGCAGAACCAGGGGGCCAGCAGGACTTTGGAGAAAATGGAGGACCATCCCCTCCCTCCAGACTCTGAGTAATGTTCTTGGGAACTTACAAGCCCCAGGCCTCCTCCTTGGTCTGTCCACGCACATGTTCAAAGACCCTGAAGAATTTTTCCCTAGATGTTCATCTGCACCTTGGTCCAAAGAAAAGCTGATACTGATAACTCTTACTTACTTACTCAACAGTTGGTTACTGTTTTTGTTTTTTTAAAGATTTATTTATTTATACAAGCACTGGGTACAGTCAGAAGCGTGGGAGGGTGAGAGAACTCACCAGAGCCAGAGCGGGGAGCAGAGCAGGCAGAAGGACGGAAGTACACTGCTGAGGGGAGCAGGCGGCGCAGCAGGAGAGGTCTGCGCGCCATGTGGGACCCTCTCTGGCAGCCGAGGATAGAACCGGCACTGCAGAGGCTGAGGGCAGCTTCACAGCCCAGTGCTCAACCGCTGCGCCACTGGGGAGGCCCTGGTTACCGTTTTATATGACAAGATGCATAATATAAATATAAAAGATGTCTTTTATTACTTCATTCTGGTTCCCTAGATTGAAACTGTTTTCAAACGTAAAACAATGTAAGAACCATTCAGAGAGATTGTGAAGGAAGGAGATTTCTGACCTCTGCCCCTAATAGTTTATTTATTTATTTTTTGAAGATTTATTTATTTATACAAGAACCAGGGTACAGGCCAAATGCATGGGAGGGTAAGAGGATTCACCAGAGACAGAGTGGGAAACAGAACAGGCAGACTGACAAAATACACTGCTGAGGGGAGCAGTGGGCGAGACAGGAGAGGTCTACTTCGCCATGTGGGATTCTTGCCGGCCGACTGGAATCAAACCTGCACTGCAGAGGCTGCAGACAGCTTCACAGTGCGGTGCTCAACAGCCTGCGCCACCAGGGAGGCCCTGCCCCCGATAGTTTAACAGGTAGATCAGCAGTGGGGCCCAAGAGTCTGGCAATTCCTGTACACTCAAGCCTGAGAAACCACCATTTCATGACATCACTTGGGCTCCTAGAGCTATGGTATCAAAACCGCAGTATGAATTTTTATACCTTGACCACTTGATAAAGCAATATTTGTCCCAACCCCTGATGTTTTCTGCTCTTCTCATTTCAACAAGTCATTGGTCCAGAGTCACTGTCGGTGGATTTCAACCCTGGCTACACATCAGAATCACCTGGGACTTTTATAGGTCATACCCCTGACCAATTAAATTAGCAACTCTGGGGGTGCAATGCAGACCTCAGTAGCTTATAAAACTCTACCCAACCTGGGCCTCCCCAGTGGCGCAGCAGTTGAGCGCTGGGTTGCGAAGCTGCCCATGGCCTCTGTGGTGCCGGTTCGATCCCTGGCTGCTCCCCGGCCACCAGAGGAGGGTCCCACATGGCGCGCAGACCTCTCCTGCCGCCCGCTGCTCCCCTCAGCAGTGTACTTCGGTCCTTCTGCCTGCTCTGCTCCCTGCTCTGGCTCTGGTGAATTCTCTCACCCTCCCGTGCTTCTGACTGTACCCAGTGCATGTATAAAAACAAAACAAACAAATAAATAAATAACATGCCTCTATTAAAAAAAAAAAAACAACTCTACCCAACCTGATGATTCCAATGTGCAGTCAAGTTCTAAATCAGCAGTTTGTAAAGTGTGGTGTCCATGCAGCAGTATCACCTGAGAACTTGTTAGAAAGGTAAATTTTCCAACTCCACCACAGATCTTTCAAATCAGAAATGCTGGACATGAGGCCCAGCAAGCTTTTGACAAATCCCGCAACTGATTCTGATGCCCATTCAGGTTTGAAACCCACCAGTCTACATATCACCACTAAACTAAACTGATGTTTTGTCCAGATATGGGGCTGCAGCTTGACAAATACTGTCCAAAAGGGACCTCCAGATGAGAAATGAGAAGTTAGTATGAAGAAACTTCTGCCTTCCCTACAGAACTGGCACATCTCTTCCTTTTTTGATACCCAGGGCTGATATGCTGCTATTCCCTTTTGATGTTGGTGATGGGATAGCTCAAAGTCAAATCTAACCTTAATCCTGAGTAACGATATAGAACTTTAAAGATCCCTTACAATCCTTATCTGCTTTCTCTATTTCCAGCCAGTTCCTCTTGCACATATGCTTGCTTTCTTTTTTTTTTTTTAAGATTTATTTATTCATGTATACAAGAACCGGTAGGGACAGATGTGCGGGAGGGGGAGGATTCACCAGAGACAGAGCGGAGAACAGAACAGGCAGACCAACTGAAATACACTGCTGAGGGGAGCAGCAGGTGAGACAGGAGAGGTCTGGTGTGCCATGTGAGTATCTCTCCGACCGGCCGGGATCGAACCCGCAATGCAGAGGCTGCGGACAGCTTCACAGCGTTATGCTCAACCACCTGCGCTACCAGGGGGGCCCTTGTACATGTGCTTGTTAGGAAAGGGACAGAGTGCAATAGGGGTAGTCACTATGCTTTCAGGCTCAACCAGGCCAGGAAGGGAGGGGGAAGTAGGGCAACTGAGCACAGAGCACTTCCTGTGGCTTTTCAAGCTCACTGGGGCTCAGCCTCACACCCCTGCCCCAGTCAGAACACCACTGTGGTTTCCTGTTTGTAGTTGCAGCACTGGACTGGCCTCCTACCTCAGCCATTCTGTGGGTGTGTATGAAGGTGGGATACTAATGCTGCCTGGAAAATAGCAGAAGCGCCAGGGAACGATCAGCCCAGGCACTCCCAAAGGAAGAGGAGGAGAGGCAAAGAGATACTGGGGAAAGGCCCAGGAGGAGAACTGAGGTAGTGAGCAAAGGACCTTGACAACCCATCACAGTCCATTCAGTTAGGGCAGACACAAGAGGCTGGTTCTCGCGCCTATCTCCTCCCTGGCTTATCACTGTACTTGCACTTCATCATTATTGTCACATGTGGGCACTTCTTTGGGGTCTGAAGCAAAATGAATCTCAGCTGGGTTTGAATCCCAGCCCTGCACTTCTCAGGTGTGTCTCCCCAGACTCATCTCCAAGACTCATCTGTAAAATGGGGGGAAGGGAAGAACACACCCCACAGGGTTGCTTGAAGGCAAGGGGTTAAGCACAACACTATGAAGCTATCCACAGCCTCTGCAGCACAAGTTCGATCCCTGGCCGGTCAGGGAGCAACCCACATGGCGCAGCAGACCTCTTCAGACTTGCCCGCTGCTCCCCTCAGCAGTGTATTTTGGTCAATCTGCCTGTTCTGTTCCCTACTCTGTCTCTGGTGAATCCTCTCACCACCTGCACCTCTGACCTGTACCCAAGTTCTTGTATGCATAAATAAATAAATCTTTAAAAAAAAAAGAGCCAAAATAAATAAATGTGGGCACTGCCACACCTTCTGAATTCCTCTGTGCCCCTGCATACAGAAACCAGGAGACAGGGGTATCAGAGACAGATTCTATTGACTATAGATCTAGTGAATTAGAAATGTGGACATGGAGTCCATCAAAGGCCCTGCACTGGGGTAGGAGAAGTCTAATATGAATATGCAATGTGACATGTCCCTACCTCTCTTCAGGCCTCTGCTTGCCCATCTGTTACACTGGAGAGAGGAAAATCAGGAGATGACTTCAAATGGCTTTTCTATCTCAGATTGGCCAGTGACTCAAAGCACAGAATCAACTTCTTGCCAATAGATCAGAATAATGTGTCTTGGGAAGAGAGGAGTCATTGCTTGTTAGGGCAGAGAAATCCTGTGCCTATATTCTTACAAGTCCCAGAAGCCAAAGTGTTGGCTGAGCCTGGATCCCTGCTGTGGGTCATTCACAATGACTTAGAAATGCAGGCTATTTTTCTGTTACTGAAGGGCTCTCAAGGCAACAATATGGTGGTCTGTCAGATGCTTGACTCCAAAGGCAGATACTCCCCCTTCACATTTGGCCTCCTATCTCTCTACCCCCTGAAGTCACATCACACTTGGCTTTTGGCATATGAGGGATAAGCCCTGACATCAATGAAAATATCAAATAGAGTTGTGTTTCTCAAAGTGTGTACCATGGAACACCAGCTTCCAGGGACCTGAGAGTTCCCCAAGAGCAAGGACCATGCTCACCTCACTCACCAGAGGCTGTTACCATTCATATGCTCCTTTTCCTTCCTTGAGGCCTCCCCACATGGTAGGTACACGAGAAACATTTGTTCAATCAATGAAATCAATGAATGTGGTATGAATATTAGATGCTACATGATGAAAAGTTTCTGTGTTCAAAAGTATTTGGGAAATGCCCAATTAGACAATGTGAAGGCCCTGAGAAGTCCTATAAGAACAAGAAATGTGATAGACAGCATCCCCCTTATCTCAGAGTAAGTCTGTGGGACACATATACAGACTGTCACCCGAAAATGTGTATCTAACACTAACCATGTCTTTTAGTTGAGTAATAATAGCTCCTGTGGCCTTAGAGAGAAAACCCAGCTTCTTAGCCTGCCATTCAAGGTCCTCTGGGCTCTGGCTGACTGCTTCTCCTAACCTGTCCACGGTATAGTCCACCAGTCACTGCTCCCCCTCTCCCCCCTGCACCATTTGATTCTTGAAGCCTGGGCTCCCATGGGAAAATCCTACACATTTCCACTCCGATCCACCCCTCTGTGAAGCGTCCAGCAGAGATGCTAATTGTTCTCTGCCCACGTAGGGTGTCTCCATCTACCCACCAAGGGGAATGACTGGCAGTGAGGATATAGCTAATTCACTATACAAGATCTTAGGCTCCTCCCTGAGGATACCCACCAAGGGAGGGTAAGGCATGGCTCACTCACCTCTCCTGGTCTGGCTCTCCCGGATGAGGAAAGCCCCTCCAGTGTTTCCAGGCAGCAACAGGAGTTCTTCAGCTTTCTCTCGGCTCAGGCCTTCATACAACCACCTGTGGGGAGGAGCAGAGAGAGGGGCAGAGGTTAGTGGAGGGTGAGGAGCAAGATTCTACTAGAATTCCTCCAATCCCTCAGTGAAACCTCTGGCAAGACCCTCCCTCTTTGGGCCTCCTCATTCCATCTGCACCATCAAGAGTTAGTCTCAGGGTCTCTAAGGGCCCCCCAACTCTGTCCTCCTGGTCCTAGCTCCAGGGGCCTCAAAGGACAACCTCATGAGTTTAGCCTTAGTCTTTTCTGTTTAGAGACATCATTCCCAAGTGACATGGGGCAGGTTGGGTGATTCCAGCCTCTTTTCTATCACTGGCCAGTCCCCCAGGACCCCCATTCTATCCACTCACCTTCCCAAGAATTAGAAAAGTACAAACTGTTTCTTTTTTAAAAAATTAGTAAATATTTTATTTGAATATTTAAAATTTTTTACTTTGTAACAGGTGAAAGATATCTGGGTGAGCATTTATTCATTATCATTGAAATTTAGCAAAGTCCTAATGGGGTTTATTTGTGTGAAGAAAGGTTGCAACTAGAATGTTCAGGACATCCTAACATTTTTTAAAGCATCTTACAACTTGTTGATCATACAGTCCATTGCTAGGATTGTTGATTACTCTGATTGCCTATTTTCCTTTTCCCTTAATCCTGCACCTAAAATATGTCCATGAAGGACTTAAACAATGGAAAAGTTGGGGAATTCCTTTGACTTACTAGCCCCGGTAATGTCTCCAAAGAGTCATGCCCAGTGACTACTGGTGTGAAGTCTACAGAAGTCAATTTGGTGAACACGGCTGCCTCTGTCATTCTGACACATCTCACAGGCAAAGCTGGAGTCCAGACTGAGTTGCTTCCAGATAAATAAATTTGAGATGCTGTGACTCATTTGGGTCTAGCAGCAAACTTAGTTTAGCTTACATAAGTAACACAGGTCATTCATACGAAGATGTCAATGAAGAAGTGACAAGGAGATGGTCAGTGTTTTCTTGACTTGAACTTAGTGCAAAACTGCTGACCAGCCGGCCAAGCAGTCAGGTGTCAGCCCAGGTGGGCCTCACATGACTTGCTGACAACATCTGTGTGAGCTGATTCTACCAGGGTCCCACACATCTCAGGATCTCTGTGGTACTTTCATCCGAACCAGACGTCAAGCCTCAGAAAAGCAGGGCACACAGTGTGGCCTTTCTCCATGAGCTGCAGAGTGGCTGTCTCAGCACACACCTGATTCCAGGTAGATCCCACCTATAGCAGTTCACATCCTCTCTCTCTTGACATTGAGTTTTTCTCTCATTATTTAAGGGATCCTGGTCCAGGAGCCCAGGTGACTCGTGGAGCCCAGAGAGCTCAGAGGCAGCTTGTCATGACACAGGTGCTGCTCCTCTGCTTTCTCCCCTCAAGACATTTATACAGGCTACTCCCATTTCCTGCAAGTCCCTTCCAGCATTCTCCACAACTAGATTCCTGGTCCCCCTCCAAAGCCCAGATAATGCCCTCTTCTCTATGAGGTCCTCCTGAGCCTCCTCCTCTGGCTTCCCAAGTCTCACAGACTGACCTAAGAGAGTTAGTTGTCTGTTGCCCCTGAGGGAAGGGCCTGGGCCTGATTCTCCTCTGTCCCAAGCTTTGCTCAGCAAAGGGCTGAGTGGGAAGAGAAAGCAGGAAGCTCCCCTATGGTAGGACTTGGGCTAGCAACTTACCCATGGGAGATTTTGGCCACATGCACACTGGGGATGCTGAACCCTTTGCCTGAAACTTCCGACAGCACAGACCACCAGTCTCCACTCCTGGAGAGAGAAGGGAGAGAGACCCCTGTCAGAAAAGTCAAGACCCAGGGCCACCCTGGTGGAGCAAGGGGTTAAGATGCAACCTATGAAGTTGTCTGCAACCTCTCCAACACGAGTTCGATTCCCCGGCTGGCCAGGGAACCGTTGCCCACATGGCGCAGCAGACTTCTCCTGACTCGCCCACTGATCCCCTCAGCAGTGTACTTCAGTCAATCTGCCTGTTCTGTTCCCTACTCTCTCTGGTGAATCCTCTCACCCCCCCCCTCCCCACACACCTCTGGCCTAAACCCCAGCTCTTGTATGCATAAATAAATAAATCTTTAAAAAAAAAAAAGTCAAGACCCAGAAAACCACTCATTTGGAATTCACAAGGAACCTCAAGACTGAATCCTGCAACCATCTGCCCCACCTGTGTTTCTCAGGATTCCTTGCAACAGGCTGTCCAGGAACCTTTTGGGTGGGAGATGGAATGATTCAGGGTTTCCTCCAAGACCCTGCCCACTCACTGCTTCTCCTTGTAGGAGTATCAGTTGCCTGAAATCCCACCATTAGGATAGCATGTGAGATTGGTACCAAAGGCAGCATTTTTTTCTTCTTGAGGCAGGAGCCCCTTCTCCAATTAAGTGTATCCAGGGGGAGGGAACAGAGCATCCCACCAGATGCCCTCAGAAGGACTTACTCAGAGACAATGGTTAGTGGCTCCCCCAGTCTCAGCGACAGCTCGGGCTGCTCACCTACTGGAAAATTGCTCAGGGCCACGCCTCTGGTCTTGCTCCTTTCTGGATGGAGGGACAGAAATGGTCACCCTTTTTGCCAGCCCTGATGTGAGGTATAGTGAAATTTCACATCATTCTCCTGATGTGAGGTATAGTGAAGTCTCCCCTCCTATAGACACCCCATAGGGGGTACATCTACTGGAATCCCAGGCAGGTATCCCTGGTATCTGAAACTTTTCCAGTTGGGCTTTGCAGAAACCTAGGGGTACCCAGACAGCTTTTGGGAGTCACCTTAGGGTAAAGGATAGGGTGATAAGGGGAGCAAAACTCCCAGCTTCAATTCCCTATAAGCAGATCTCTATAGAGGTTTTGAGGTTTTCTACTGCTCATAAAACTTAAAACCTACAGCTCTAAACAGGAATCAGCACAAATCTCTGAGCTCAGCTCCTGGAAGGCACTGATGAGATGGGCATTGTATGGACTAACTTAGAGTACTGGGCCCTTGGAGGATGAAGTCTCCTGAAGTAGCCATGAAATGACAGTTGTGACTCCAGAATGCTGTGACCCAGGCAGAGTAGCTTTCCTGTGGCCTTTGTTCAGAGCAGTGGGTATAGGTCTATGCTACCTTATGAGAAAAGGTGTGGCACCAGGGTCCATTGTGCTAGGCCTGGCCCAGAGCAGGTGACCAGCAGGTGTGTAAGTCTTACTCAAGTGTCCTGGCTACCACCTCACTGAGTACCTGCTATGTGTTGTGCCTGATTAGGTGCTGTCTGTTTCCTCTTGTCCCTCAAATATCTGAAGTAGCCATCTCTAGTTGGCTACACTGGACAGTAAGATGTCGCTGAGGCTCAACAGGACACTCTGCCAGAGTGAGGTCACAGCTCCTTCAATGGGGTAGCAATGGGATAGGTGGTCATGGTGGCTGCTTGCAGGCCCAGGTTGTGGGGCACTGGGCCAAACAGCAACAGCAAATTTCCAGAAGTGTCCAGACTCCCTGGGAGGCCAGAAAGGGAATCACAGAACCAGAGGACACCAAACCTTGTCACATCAGGACTGATCCAATGATGTAGTAGGCATGAGACCTGATTTCCAGGCTCAATGGCAGGTGCAAGCAACTCCCTCAGCATAGGTCACTCATTCGTGTGCCAGTATCAGAGATCAGCCCATTTAACTAGACCTCCCTGTGCCTGTCGGGGCCTTGTTGCCTAAGAAACCCACCTTCCACAGGCTGCTGAGCCACTTCACCTGCAGTTCAGTGCCCCTCCCTTTCCTTTCTCCCCTTCTATTTCAGCAAGGGTCTCTATAATAAAGCGAAAATACACTAATCAGCACATCAATGCTTTAAGCTATGAAAAGCAGTCAAGGTCAGCAAGAAGTCAAGGGCATAGATGTCAAGGGATCTACAATGTCCTTTAGATGGAGCTGGGGTCCCTTGAGGTGGGGGAGGGGTGGTGGACAGACAAAGACCCAGAGAATGGGTGGGGAAGACCTAGAGACCCAGAGCTAGACGCTGTGTGGGCTGAGGGCTTCTGGGTCAACATGAGAAGAGTGGGACTGAGATACTAGAATGGATTCCTTCCCACACATCTTCTCAGACACACATGAAGACCCCTGTGGTGACCTGACTCAATCTCATTAGAGTCCAGGAGTCACTCCTCTTCTCAGTCATCTGTATGTAGCCTAGGGTTGGCTACCCTACAGTGCAGGAAAATACCTGATGCCTGAATAAATGATGCAAACAAATCTTGTGGAGGGTGTCCTTCGACAAGGGTGGAACTAGGGAGCCTGGAAGGTCCTCTTCTCCTGGAAGCCCTAGTCTTGCACCCCTTGAAGCCACTGAGCTACATGTGCTATTTCCATGATTGGCGCCTCTGCCTGGCCAACTCACCTTCCTCCTTTACTCCCTGGCTGAAATGTCCCTTCCTCCAGGTATTATTCCCTGATAAGCCCCTCAGCACATACTCTTGATCAGTATCACCAAAATATAACACAATTATAATTGACTCTTGGTGTAGCACCTATCTCCTGCCTTGACTGTCCCTAAAGGCAGAAATGGTGCCTCTTTTGTTTACTTCTGTGTCCCCTGCTCCTTGCACAAGGTCGGGCATATGGTAGAGCCTTAGTAGATTTAAGATGGATGCAAAGCTGACAGACAAATAACTCACTGAGAGGTTGCCTGACGTCCATATACCTACTGGGTCCAAGGTAGACCTACTGGGAGAGAGGCCACTGTTCTCCCTGGAGACACTGGTGGGGTGGGGGTCGGGGGGGCAATATACTTCCCCTCAGGTCTCACTGGCAGGGAAGTCCTCCAGGACACCTGTGAGGGGAATCACCACCATCGGCAGCCCAGGCATGACTCAGAGCAGCCTGGGGGCCACTGCCTGTGGCTACATTCAGAGGAAACGAGGTGTAGGTCTGTGTGGTTTCCAGGTCTCTTCCTCCAGGGCCTGGTGGGCCCCAAGTTCTCATTGCAGACTGAGTCACTAAAAGGAGGCAACTGCCTCCCCAACAGAAGTTCTGTAGGGTCTAGGATGTCAATGCCTATGAGGCTTAGGGAAGACTGGTATTAGGAAGATGAGGATACTGGAGATGGGGATTGAGGAGTAGAAGGAACCCTAGCCATTGTAGGGAGTTTTCGGATTAGGGATAGTGTCTACCTAAATGAGAATACCCAGATACTTGGCTCTGCAGTCTTACAGTTCTGTTTAAATGTATGACCATATCCTATCTAGTCAGACTACCACTCAAGATTGAAGGAGGGACAAGGTGCTTTATAGTGAAACAAAAATGAAAAGACTACAGCACCACCAAGCTGGCCTTAAAAGATTAAAAGTGCAGAAGACCTCTCTAGTCTAGCCCACTGCTTCTCTTAACAATATAGTTCAATAAATCCACCTTTTCTGTTCTCAAAAAAAAATACTAAAGGGACTGTTATAAAACAATAATAAATCTCATCTAGAAATAACAGACATGAAAATTACACAAGAGGGAGAGTAAATATGTGCACCGTTAGAATTAGTTTATATTAAATTTTTCAGCAGATCACACATAGACAATCACATATAAATTTCAGTATAACCTTCAAACAAAAATCAATAGAAATAACACATAAGAAGGTGGAAATAAAACACAAACAAAACATAAAAAGAAGGTATCAAAAAATAAAGACAAAGACAAAATATAAAAATAGAAGATGTCAAATAACAAAATGACGTATCAACAAGACAAAAAATGTTTCATTAATTACCCTAAGTCTAAATGGTTTTATTACCAATTAAAAGGAATACTGTGGCTGAATGGATTATAAAACCAAGTCTAATCTTTTGTCTGCAGAAAACTCATCTTATTACTAAAAATAAGCACCGGCTTAAAGACAAGACTGGAAGACAATTCTATAAGCACATGTTAATAAAAAAAAATCAGGAAGTGGGGCCCCCCTGGTGGCTCAGGGGTTAAGTCTCAGCCTATCAAGCTATCACCACCTACTGCAGCATGAGTTCAGTCTCCCACCAGGGAGCTAACCCACATAGCACAGCTGACCAATCCTGGCTTGCTTACTGCTACCCTCAGCAGTGTATTTCAGTAGATATGCCTGTTCTGCTCCCCACTCTGTCTCTGGTGAATCCTCTTACCTCCCACACCTCTGGCCTACACCTTAGTTCTTATATGCATTAAAAAAAATCTTAAAAAAAAAATCAGAAAGTGCTTTACTTATATAAGATAAAGCAGATTTCCAGTTTTAAAAAGTAACACAATAGATGAACATTATAATTAAGAATTATACAATACATGAAGATATCAGTTATAAATATATATATATTTACCAAATAATGGACCAAGATATATAAAGCAAATACATTTATTTACTTATTTATTTATTTTAAAGATTTATTTATTTATGCATACAAGAGCTGGGGTACAGGCCAGAGATGCGGGGGTTGAGAGGATTCACCAGAGACAGAGTGGGGAACAAAACAGGCCGATTGACCAAAGTAAACTGCTGAGGGGAGCAGTGGGTGAGTAAGAAGAGGTCTGCTGCGCCATGTGGGTTGCTCCCTGGCCGGCCGGGGATCGAACTTGTGCTGCAGAGGCTGTGGATTGCTTCATAGTGCAGTGCTTAACCCCTTGCACCACCAGGGAAGCCCAAAGCAAATACATATAACAGAATTAAAGAGAGACATCAATAACACAATAATAGCAAGAGATTGTAATGCCACACTTACAACCACAAACATATCAACAAGACAGAATAAGGAAGCAATACTCTTAAATGACAAGCTAGATAAGATATATTTAATAGACACCTACAGAACATTCTACCCAAGAACTATAGCATATACATTTTCCTCAAGTGCTCTTTGAACATTCTCAAGAGTTGACCATATGGTGGGACACAAGTCATCTTGTAAAGACTGAAATCATACCAAGCATTCTTTTGATCATAATGTCACAAAGCTAGAAATCAACTATTTAAAAAAAGATACATGTTTTAAACACATAGAAGATTAAACAACATACTTCTCAGTAACCACTGGGTCAGAAATTAAATAACCTGGAGACAATGAGGACATACGCTATCAGAATTTAAGGGATGTAGCAAAAGTGGTTGTAAGAGGGAAGTTAATTGCAACACAGACCTACATTAAGAAGTAAGAAACAAATAAGCAATTTAATATTATATCTATATCACCTTGAAAAAGATGAACAAACGAGACCCAAAGTTAGTAGAAGGGAGGAAATAGTAAAAGTCAAAACAGAAAAAAATGAAACTGAAAACAAACTTACAAAAGATCAATGAAGGGCCTCCCTGGTGGCACGAGGGATTAAGCACCACACTCTGAAGCAATCCACAGCCTTTATAGCACGAGTTCGATCCCTGGCCTGCCGAGGAGCAACCCACATGGTGAAGTAGACCTCTCCTATCTCACCCGCTGCTCCCCTCAGCAGTGTATTTCGGTTAGTTTGCCTGTTCTGTTCCCTACTCTGTCTCTGATGAATCCTCTCACCACCACCCCCGCCGCATCTCTGGCGTGTGCCCCAGCTCTTGTACGCATAAATAA